TCCGCCAGGCGGCTGAAGTTGTTGTTCTCCTCCAGCGCCTTGTGCAGCACCTCCCGCTCGTGCTCGCGCCGCTCCGCCAGCTGCTTCAGCACCTGCGCCTCCTGCGTCTGTGCGGCGCGTTGGAGGGCGTGGAGCGCGCCCCGGCTCCCCCCGCAGCCCAGACCCCCGCCCCCATCCTGGCCCCTGACGCTGCCATCTGACCCGCCAGGGCCCGTCAACCCCTCCCGTCACCCTGCCCTGCTGCCCCCAAGACACACATCTTCGCGGAGCTCACGCCTACACGGCCCTGATTCGGGGAGGGTGACCTCCTTCCTGGTTTGCCTGCCTTCCGGGGACCTGAGCGCTGAAAGCTCCGAGGCCCCAAGAGACCACAGAGCTGGCCCCTCCCTGCTAGCCTGCTAGGCCGAGGGCGTCCTAGGCAAGGCAGCCTCCGTTCTTCTCGCTCCAAGCCCAAGCCCGCCCGCGGTGCGCTGGGAGAGTGCTGAGGAGCAATGGGAATCTAAACTTGTGGGCCATCACTGAGCCTTCCTGTCTCTTCCTCAAACCTCTGCCCACTGAGCACAAAGTAGCCTTCGGTACAGGCCAGGTGCTGAGCTTCCTAAGGTGCTGGGAGTGTGGCCGGCTCCCAGGGATGCGGGGAGAGGCTAAGTTGGAGAGAGGAGCCTGGGCTGCTGGTGTCACAGTGTTGGGCCCTGCTGGGGGAGGGGCTGCCCGGTGGCCCCCAAGGACAGCCTGAGCTCCCAGGGGTAATTAGAGCCCTCAGCCTCCTACAGGCCAGTCACTCCGGGTATCTCAGGTCTCACGGGACCTGCTGTGAGGGAGATGGAGCCATTGCCCCTGTCCTGTGAGCTTGGGTACCAGGACACACTCCTGAGAGCAATTCCTCTTCTGTGTGTTTCAGCCTCAGAAGGGCTGGTGTGAGGTGAAGGGGCAGGGAGGGGCCTAGGCTCACTCACCACTTCTCCCAGAACCCTTGAACCCCCAACAGGTCTAGTTGTGCAGCCCCCAGCACATGGAGGCCCTTCCTTCCCACTCCCTTGCCCAGGAGAAGGGTGCCAGTCCAGCCTCACATCCCAGGGCCACCATCAGGCCCTCCTGGCCATGGCCAAGGCCCTGCAACAGTGTCTGGTTATTGTCTCCCTCCAGCTGACTGCCGTTGGGGATCCTTCCTCCCCCATCCCATGCTGACCTCTCAGGAGGAGGTCCGGGAAACCATGGTGCTCTCCACCCCAGGCCAACCACCAAGCAGCGGTTTGGAGCACCCTGCACCTTGGGGACCATGTCCATGGCCAGCAAGACCACCTGGCTACCTTCATCAGACCAGATATGGGGTCCTTACCTTCCTCCGCTCCTCAGCTGCCTCCAGCCGCTTCTGCAGCTCCTCCAGGGAGGTGTCCTTCCTCTTGGGGGGGGAGGAGAGCACAGGGCTCTCCGGTGACAAGTCAGAAGGGGACTTGAGGATGACCTCAAAGCTCTGGCCAGAGGCCCTCTTGTCCAGCTGCTTCACCTCCATGTCTGCAGGGCAAGATCAGACTGGGGCTTCAGGAAGGTCAGCCAAGAGGGGGTGGGTGAAAGGGCTGGTTCCCAGCACACATCCAATTCGAGGCCTGAGCCAGAGGGTGTGGCTGCTCATGGAGGGACTGCAGGCCTGAGTCCCTAACCAGCCCCTCTCCCCCAAAACCCCTCTCCAGAAGCCAGCCAAGCCAGGGGGTCAAAAGGCCACAGGATGGGGAGTGGGCACACTCACCCCCATACTGGTAGATGGTGTTGGGGTGTGGCTGTGAGTAGAAGCAGGAGCAGATGAGCGACAGCACGGACAGCTCCTTCATCTTCTCCTTGTAGGCTGTGGGTGGGAGGCCGGGTGAGCAGCCCGCCCTCCCCCGCCCCATCTCCCCCCGGCTCCTCCCCCTGGTGCATCTCTCTGGGAGCCTGCCATCTGGCTCTCTCTGCTCCCACATCTGACTCTCCACATCTCTTCTCTCCCTCCCCACCTGCTGTCTTTCCTTGGACATGCCTCCCTGTGGGTCACCTGCACTGTTCTCGCTGATCCTGTCACTCAGCCGTGGTCTGTCAGCCTCCCTCTCTGTATTGCTGTGTCTCTGTCTCTTGTTCTTTCTCTGGATCACTCCCTCACTCTGTCTGTGTCTCTGTTCAGCCCTCTGTCTTTCTGGCTCTCTCTCTGTCACGATCTCTCTTCTTATATTTCTGTGTCTCTGATTCTTTGTCACTGTTGTATTTTCCCAACTCTCACGCCCTCTACCCACCCGCCATACCACTTCCCCTTTTCAGGACTTGCCCCTGGGGTAGACAACATTAACCACTCAGGACTGGGCTGGCACTGAAGTGGAGCTTGTACACTTGGGTGAAGCCCACAGACTTCCTTATCTCTGCCCCCTCCACGTACCCTGACAGTATTGTGGTCACTCCGTTAAACCCGGGCCTCACCAGATGCTCTGGTTGCCCACCTAGAGCCAAAGGGACGGGAGCTGTCCGTTCAGCACCACAGCCCACCCTTTAGCTTTGCAGAGCCAGTGCCCTCAAGCAGGAGTTATCACCTCCCAGGCAGAAAAAGAGTTGAGCCTGAGCCCTGTTGGGAAAGGGGAAGTGCCCACTCTTGGAATGGAAATAATTGAGCTATTTGTGGTGTGTTCATGGCAAGCCAGGCCTCAAAGTAGACACATTAGTCAATCTTGCAAGCCCAATACTATCACCCCACTCAACCAAGATGACGCTGGGCCCAGGTGACTCCAGTGACTTTCCCAAATCTCCTCAAGCACAATTCCAGGTGGTCTGTGTTCTTCTCACCACTCCAGCAAGTCCTCAAGTCTAGGAGGCTCAGAGACCCTTGTGACACCACAGACATACTCCAGGGAGAGAGAGTCTGGCTTCCATGAAGGAAAGGACGCAGTCCCCTAAGCACTCTCCAAGGGCACACCAACATTTGGCCAAGGGCTTAGATGGACAAGAAACTTTCTGATCAAATTTCACACAAGACGCCTGGCCTGCATGGCTCAGTGGTTGAGCGTCGACCTATGAACCAAGAGGTCATGGTTCAACCATGCAGGCTTGATCCCCTGTGTGGGGTGTGCAGGAGGCAGCTGATCAAGGATTCTATTCTCTCTCATCATTGATGTTTCTCTCTCTCTCACTCTCCCTTCTCTCTAAAATCAATAAAAATATTTTTTTAAAAATTTCACACAAGATGTTTTGAAACTGAGTTAACAGAAAAGTGAGAAGAGTGTTGGTGTTGAAACAGGGCACAGGATAGAAACAATCAGACCCTGGTCTGAGGGAATAGCTCCTGGGGAGCAGGTCCTCCCACAGCTAGCACAGGGAATGAGGTTATTTGATCAGAATACCCTGATGGCCTAGATCAGTGGTTCTCAACCTTCCTAATGCCGCGACCCTTTAATACAGTTCCTCATGTTGTGGTGACCCCCAATTTCATTGTTACAAATTGAACATAATTAAAGCATAGTGATTAATCACAAACAATATGTAATTATATGTGTGTTTTCTGATGGTCTTAGGCGACCCCTGTGAAAGGGTTGTTTGACCCCCAAAGGGGTCGCGACCCACAGGTTGAGAACCACTGGCCTAGACTCTTCTGGAGAGAGCCCCAGAGGCTGTGAGGGGACCACGAAGGACTCCTGGACCTCATCATAGAAAGCCTTGGGCTCCTGGAGGGCGTGGGGCAAACACACCTTACTCATTGTCTCCAGGAGGGTGGTGGGGGGCTCAATGGGGATTTGGGTCTGACTTATCTATTCATGTATCACATGTATGTGTTGTTAAAAGTTCATTTCAAAGAGGAGGCAGAGGGGTACCTCACAGCACATGTGACCAGGCAGAGCGGGCTCACCAGGCGCAGCGGTCTGGGAGAGGCTGGGAGTAGCCAGCCCTGAGCTCAGAAGGGAAGAAGGGGAGGGTCTCTGGAGGGGCCTGGATCAGGAGGCACCCCGGGCCTGGGAGAGAACAGGAAGGAGGGGACTCTGTGTGACCCTGCCAGTGCCTGCCACCTGGCGCACACACACAGTCTTCCATCCTGAGCTTTCAGAACCTGTGTGTGGGTGTATGTTACAGGCCAGGAGCCTGGGGCCTCACAGCTGCTCTGGCTCCTCTCTGCCTTGAGCCTGAAATTTTCCCAGGAAAAGGAGCTGCAGATTCATTAAAGAGAAGGAACAAGTTCATGAACAAATGCCAGGGGGTGCTTCCTTTCAGGTCACTGTCACCTCAGCATGGGGGGCAGCTGGCAGCAATTCAGAGAGCAGGACGGGGAGCATGGGCAGGCATGAGCACTGCGTTGTCAGGAGGGAGAGGACAGGGACCGGGGCTGGAGGCAGGTCAGAGCTCTCACAGGTCACAGCCGCGCCCAGGGGATGAGTGTCCGCCTGGGAATGGAGGGACTGTGTCCTACAGCTTCGAACAGGGACACAGCTCAGTCTGATGGTCATGGCGACTCCCCAGGCTGGTGTATCCCAGTCCTTTCCAGTCGACTGATCCTCATGAAGCCAAGTGGGAAGGGACTTGAGAGTGAGCCCCGCTCTGTGTCTGGCCGTGCGCCGGAGGGGACTGGCCGGCACGTGGGGAGTTGGAGAACGAGTCCAGCTCAGCCTCATGTGAGACAGGCGGCTACACCTGTGTCTGCAGAGTCAGGGGCTTCAAGGTCATGTCTCAGTGCAGGGGGAAGAGACGAAGACTCGGACCCACCCAGGACACCCCTCCACAGACATAGCTCAAGCTCAGAAGCCCCTCGAGGTCATGAGGCCCCAGGCCTGGTCTCCCCTTCACCAGCACCCTTCTCTTTCCTCCATATCCCTGGCTTCAGGAAGTCATACAAACAAACCTCTGCCATGACCTGAATTGATTTCATCTCCCTCTTCCTCTTCATATCAAATGTTAAATTTGATAAAATGCATATTGGGCTTTGGATGGCTAGATCCCAGATGAGCAAGATTTAGAAGGCACCAGCTCAGCACGTAGCCACATGGTAACAACAACACCAGTGCCTATGGAGGGGGGAAATCCCACCCATTCTCCCAACTGACCCTCAAGACCAGCCAGCCAGGCAGACACCGTTGTCAGCCTCATTTGTACAGAGGAAAAGGAGGCCCAGAGAGGGCAAGTGGCCCACCCAGAGTCACACAGCATGCCGGGATCGGAGCCTGGTCACAAGCCCAGGTCTCTGATGGCACTTTCCTGTTGGGAGCCTCATGGGGAGAACTGGGAGGCCAGGTGGCCCACAGATGCCCACTCACCCCTAGAAGGGCCCTGGGGGCTGCTGCTAACTGTTCCCCAACAGGTGGAACTTGTTGCCACCAAGCTGCCCCTCTCTAACCTATCAGAGTTGCTGCCAACAGTGCCAGGAGCCCAATATGGGGGGACTTGGTGTAATCACCTTTCTCTGGGCAGGAAACTGGGAAATGTGACCACAACAGTCACACTACTTGACATGGAGGGGCATTCTCCTCTTGCCAGGCATCAGGCCAAGCGCCTGTCCTGAAATCTCTCATTCGACCCTCAAAACAAGTCTAGGGGAGGTGCTGTCATTATCATCCCCCCAGATGGGAATGGAGGCCCAGGAGTTCAGTAGCAGGCAGGAGACCTCACGCCTGAGGAACTGTATCAGACGGAGTGAGCAGGAGCCTGCAAGCCTGTGAGAGCCGTGTGCCTGCGACGGACACTGGCCAGGAGAGGCAGCCGTGGGGGCCGGGGGTGGGAGCTTTCTGTCTGCACAGGAAGAGAAAGCTACGATCAACCTTGTGGCGGCCGTGAGGCCCCTGCAGATGACAACTCTTCACCCTGGTCACCGGGACCAGGCAGAGCCACCAGTGAGTGTGAGCAGGAGGCCAGCGCTGCGGTCAGGTCAGCAATGTCTTTCACAGAGAAGCCACAGCTGGAGTTCACTTAACCCGATTTTGGTCACACTGACTGGGGGCCTCACGCAACCCCCTCTGGGCCAGGCTGCCCTGCTCTCTAGTGCTGAAGGCTGGAGGCGCTGGTGGTGAGCGCATCTATAGCTACACTCTATCAAGGGTGGCGCTGACGACAGAACAGGAAAGCCCAGGCCCGGGCCTCCGCCAGGGACCAAGCAAGGATCAGCGGTGCCCCAACATCTGGCAACGAGAAAGGGCTGGGGTCAGGGGGCTCTGGGCTCAGAGGGTGTCTGTGCACAGCTCTGACAGCCATGGAAGGTGAGGTTTTTCAGCTGCTTACCTGTCAGATGGAGGGGGAGGAGGCCTATTGAGCAGGGTTTTCACCACTAAGGAGGGTGAGTGAGAGAAAACGCTGAGAAATGCTCCCCACAAGAGGCTGCCATGGTCTGCCCTCAGGCTCAAGGAGGAGCAGGATCAGGGCCCCTCAGGGCAGCTCTCTGGCCACCCGCCCTGGCTGGAGGAGAGACTCTTTCTGCCCAAAGCTGGTCCCCAATCTCCATGCAAGTCAGCGAGAGGCAGGTGCAGAGGAAGCCTAGAGAGACCCGACCCCCAGACGGCGTGGGAGGCCAGTGCTCAGGGACACACAGTCCTCCCACGGGTCACCTGGGCACTGGAGTCGCGGGCCGAGGGCCGGGGTGGAGGCCGGGCCCACACGGGTGGGCGGAGCTCTGCAGAGAATTCGGTCCGCAGCAGCCGAGCGGGGACCTCGGGCGGCCCCCAGGGTGGAGGGAAGGG